CCAAAAAAGTTCAAAATTATTTAAATTTTGCAGGCTACCCGTTTAAATGGCTAGCGCCAATCGTAGGTCATGTTTATCCTTATAATTAGCAATGAAACCAACATGTTTTCGAGGAGCATCAAATATATTTACAAAGTATCTATGTTACCATTACCATTACATTTTAAACAATATGAGAAAGAATATAAAACCTGTAACAATAAACACTGAGGGAAAATTAAACATTATGTACAATAAACAATTAAATCCGAAATATGGTCCTTATAATGATTCTCAGCTTTTTATGGTAAGTTTTATTTTCTCCAAATCTTCATCGATCTGTCTCTGAATGCTGTCTCTGGCTGCTTGAAGTTCGTTTTGAGTAGCAAGTAGTTTCTTCTTGAGATTTTCAATGTCAATCTTCATGTTGTGAAACTGTTCATGATCTTCCAGGTAGGTTTCAAATACTTTCCACCAATCTTCGATATCGGGTTCTTCGGCGTTGCTGGTGTCAAATGAACGTATTTTCTCAAGTGGTTTATGCTCCACGCAGAACGTTTCCAAATCTTCCATTATCTGCTCAACCGATGGGGGCACAGGCTGCGGCGAAAGCTTGTTGGATTTTTTGAACATATTTCTGTTTAAAATTGAGATTATGAATATTATTTATGGGAAGAAAATGATATTACTGCCTAATGTTTTGCAAAAGCAGAATGACAATTGAAAACTGCAAATGCACTGCGTGATGATGCCATTAAAACGTCATGTGAGTTGTGACAAAAACTACCCATTGAAATATCGAAAATTTCACCCCCACAAACCAGGGTGACGGTTCTATAATGGCGGTATGCTGTAAGCAGAATTTAATTTTATTATCGATTCAACATATAGAAGATTTTACGAACCCTTAACTAAAACCACAAACGAAGTGACAGACGACTAACTGGCGAAGAAATCAATTAAAATAATGTGGTTCGCTGTAATAGAATTTTCTTAGAAGCTTGTGCCATCAGCCACCAGATGGGCTAGTATTTTGGTTTTGATTTGAACATAGTTGATTTTGTGTGCAATATGATCTTTGACAGTGTGCAAAGAGTGTATCATTTTGACAATTTTTTTTATGCATATCAGTTTAGAGTAGAGTGAAAGAGATAGAACCAAAACATTCTAGTACATTTAGTGTTGCCATGTGGTACAATCACAAACGAAGTGACAGACGGAGCGGCTCGAAAACTTTGGTGACTAACCTTCTATTGCAATTTTTCAGTGTACTACATGGCAACACCACTACTACTGGATTGTACCACATGGCAACACTACTATTGGATTGAACTAGCATTTTCCCCAAATGTACTAGAATGTTTTGGTTCTATCTCTTTCACTCTACTCAAAACTGAAATGCATAAAAAAATGACAAAATGATACGCACTCTTTGCACACTGTCAAAGAATCATTGTACACAAAATCAACTTTGTTCAAATCAAAACAAAAAAACTAACCCATCTGGTGGATGATGGCACAAGCTTCCAAGAAAAATCTATTACAGTGAACCACATTATTTAAATGGATTTCTTCGCCAGTTAGTCGTCTGTCACTTCGTTTGTGACATTATTTTAATTGATTTCTTCGCCAGTTAGTCGTCTGTCACTTCGTTTGTGCTTTTAGCATCTGAAAAATTATTCATGAAATGGTGACGATCGCTATCGATTTTTCTTCTGAATGGCGATCTTCAACGATGTATATATATTCTATAGAAAATTAAAGAGGGGGATATTCTCAAATTTGAGTCAAACATGGGAGATGAGTGAAAAGAACTTAATTTTGGGTAATTTTTCGGTTCCGTGAACATTTTGGGTACTTTTTTCTTACCGTGCACGGAGATGAAAAACTACCCAAAATTAAGTACTTTTCCCTTGAATAACCACTTCATTCGAGCAGATAAAATGACGTTTACTACCACTCGAACTTTGAAATGAAACATTATTTTGAGATTTTTTCTTCTAGAACCTCGAGAAAAGTAGCCAACATTTGTGCGTTTCATAAAAAAACAGAAATTGGTTGGTCCAGTTTTGTGAAATCGCTGGTAGAAAGTCACGCCAAAACTGCTTGACAAAGTGGTCAATTCCGGGGTTCAGCCCAATAACTCAAATTTGAGTAAATCGCATATAGTAGTTTCCATTTAACACCAGCAAAAAAATTACCTACTCTTATGTATATTTTACCCAAAATTAAGTTTAATTCACGTAAATTTGAGAATATGCAATTTACTCAAAAGTAACTTATTGAGATTTTCACGTCCGGTTGTATTGGTGCGAATGTGAGAGCGTGTTAGTGAATATCCGAGGAAAATGCATAGCAAATCGATGTCAAACTCATTTTGACAGGTCTACTTTCATACATTTTTTATGTTAGCCAGAGGAAAATAATAAACAACTTTACACGGCGTTGCAACGATGCCAGATATACAGACTTTTGTACACGATAAAGGTGGACACTATCTTTTTTGAACCCTTGTAACTTTAATTATATTAACGATTTTTCTAATCCCATTACATACACAGCAAAAAAAAATGTAATATCGATCAACGTAATTCAAGCTGATGTATGAAATAATGATGTAATAGCAAAAAGCAGATACAATATTACATCAATGGATGTAATTTTGTTCGCAAAATCGATGTACATCGTACAATGTGATATTACACAACCGATGGATTGACCTGGTTGCAGCAGTTTCGATGTAATATTCAACAACTTTTTTTGCTGTGTAGATATAAAAATAGTTACATATATTAACTAGTAATTGCATTAACTGTAGCTTCACAAAATACTTCATTTGATATTTTTTGGATAAAATTAAAAAGCGGTGACCACTTTTTTCGTGTACAGAAGTCTGTATATATGGCATCGTTGCGGCGTTACTTCCGCTGTGTGCGTGCGTTAAACGTCACTAATCTCTATTGGGCTGAACTATATCGTTGGGTCGAATCTCTCGTTCCTTTTTTGACAACAATAAAGCCTGGTACGCAGCTGAAAAGTAATGACGTTTTTACGTGCTACGGGATAGGACACGGAACCCTAATAAAAATTGTATGGTTAATTTGCTTAACGACGTGTTCTGGGTATCATCCAAACCATTTATGGAATAGTTCAATGATTTGGGTTATCGTTCGTTTATGGTTATTTTTTATTAGGGAATGCAAAAGAAATTACTTTTCCTCAGCATTTCTTGACCCAGTAACCATAACCATGTTCTCAAACCATAAGTAGAAACGTTCTAATATAGTTCTCTTTCCGAAAATGTATGGAGAAAACAAGAATTTGGAATGGTAATGGTTCTTAACAACCCATTATTTGTAAGGTCCGCTTCCAAAAAACTATAATACATAAGGTTAAAACTTTATCACACAAACGTTCATGTAAAGTTCCATAACCATTTCAGTTGAAGTTTAGCAGAGATTATAAACAATTTATAACCATTATCGGTAAGGTCATGTGATGGTTCGCGTTTATGCGGGTACGCAGTTCAAAAGAAATCGGTAAAGGAAAGATCGATAACATTAGTATCGTGATCGACATGAAGGTGGCGCATTCTGAATGCTATTTCACTTTCCTTGCGGAATAATGGTCTGATCAATTATTCCGTTAGGTAATGTTGGCGTTTATTGCAAAACTGATGTTTTGGATGCATTTAAACAACATAAACACTAATAAGTGTTGATTTAACAATTTGACGACATCTCCCTATAATCTCAAAATTTAGCAGCCTATTGGCAAATCAAAGTTGGCACTCGTGGAGAATAGAAGAACTATGAAAGTGATGATGGTTTCAAAATTTTGCACGGGGAAGTATACGAGTGCAATCTTAAAATGCTTTTATTTTGAAAATGGAGCATTTTTTTTAATCTGGTTACTGCTACAGTGGTAGAAAAGCGGAAGTCTATGTTTACACCTAAAAATCTGAAAAGAAATTAAGTTTTCTGTATTATATGTCTATTGAGTAGTCCTGAAGTTTTCTACTAACGTAGCACTAACCAGATTTAAATAAAATGCTCCATTCACAAAATAAAAGCATTTTAAGATTGCACTCGTATACTTCCCCGTGGAAAATTTTGAAACCATCATCACTTTCATAGTTCTTCTATTCTCCACGCGTGCCAACTTTGATTTGCCAATAGCTGTCAAATTTTCTTTTGGGAAAAATCCTCAAAAATTACTTTTCCGTTTTCTTTTCAGCTGCGTACCAGGCTTAGAGCAACCGTAACGGTCGTTGTCATTTGCGCGACTATTTTAACAGCGCACAGCGTTCTCATTTTAGTTTAGTCACTCTTCTCCACACCGGTCGCTGCTATCGCGGTTATCAATTTACTCACTGTAGTCCGTACCGGTAGTGAGTATTTTGACATTTCTGTGAATAGCAACCTTTCTCCCGCGCTGCTATCGCGCTGCTATCAACAATCAATACTAAACTAACGATTTTAAATTGGCTCACCACTTTAGTAGCCTATTGGTCCCAAGCAAACGATTAACGTACCCTATTCTAGTTGAAATTCTATTACTACACTATGTTTGTTTTGATTCGCTATGAAAGTTTGACAGATAACATCAGGGGTGTGTGGATTCATGCAGAACATGCAGGGGTGAGTGAAATAGCTTGGGACTGCTTGGGACCGTTGTTCTGGTACTGAGTGAGCCAAAAATAATAATGATTTTCTTCGGGACCCAGTGGTCTTAGAGTTACCTCTATGCTGCTATCGCGCTGCTAAATTTGGTAACGCGCTTCTCACCGAGAAGCCGACTGCTATTTTAGTTACTCGTATGGCAACCCCCGATACGGTAGCTGCGCTATGATGAAGGCTGCTAAAATGAGTTTAGCAGCGTACCGTTACGGTTGCTCTTAACGAGTGGAAGTGAGAGGCTGAAGTCAATATTAAGTAAAAAGAACTCAAATTTCGGGTAGTATTTTTTCTCCGTGTAACATATCACGTGGTCTAAAATGAAATGTCATCATATTGGAAAGTGACAGATCGAAGCTGTTCTTCACCCAATGCAAGAGCACAAATCGATAAAAGTTAAGTTAACTTATTAATCCATTGCAGAATCGTAAAATTGTTTAAAATAACTATATCAAGTTTAAGTATTCATCAACGGTATAATTTCTAGTGGCTGTTGTTGAGTAAAACCCTCGAGGTAACGTACAATATCGCGTTAAGCACTTCTAACCTTCAGAGCACATTTATATCACTAATCAGTCCCAAATAAGGGCCAATTCGAATTTGAATTATAATACTTTTACCATATTTACAGGGTTTTACAGCACCGAAAAAATGCGGCTGCATATTGCATTCTTAGTAGCGGCATCATTGTGCCTGCTACAGAAACCATTTGCAGCAGCTGAAAACTTTGAAGAAAATGATTTTGCTGAGTTCGAAGATTTCGATGAAGATGAGTTTATCGTGGGAAACACAGCCAGTGACGGTCAACAACCAGGTAGTGTTGATTCGAATTCTAATTCAGGGAAAGCCAACATCAATGCCAACACAGCTCAGGACAATGATAATGATTTTGCCGAAATTGATGATAACGATGAAGATGAAGCCGTAGTTGAAGATGAAGAGAACGAGTTCGAACACTTCCAAGATGAAGAGGAATTTGAAGGTTTCCCTGCTACGATGGGTGATCAGGATGAAGTTAAATTGGCAGATACAAAGAAATCAGAGCCCAAGTTGACGATGGCCAAGGTACCAATGCACTTTAGGACCCATTGGGATTCTTACTGGTTGGAAATGTTGATGCTTGCCGGTTTGTTGGCATATTTTGCAAATTACTTGTACGGCAACAAGAAAAATTCAACTATCGCCAGCTTGTGGCTTTCAACCCATAAAAGCTTACTGGAGGATAACTTTGTGCTCGTCGGCGACGATGGTAAGAAAGAAACCGAAGCCTCTACATTCAGCTTCATCAAGGAAAGCGAAAGCATTTATACACTATGGTGCAGTGGACGCACTTGCTGTGAAGGTATGTTGGTAGAGCTAAAAATGATTAAACGACAAGACCTCGTTTCATTGATTGCCGGAATAATGAAGCCCGTTCACGATCAGTTACATATCAAAGTTGAAATGTCGCCCGATTCAATGGATAATTTTGTATTTTGCGTCGCTAATAAGAAGCAGGCTACAAAAATGTTCAAAGAAATGAATGATTTGGTAAGTTGTTGAATTGCAAATATACTTTTAAAAGCAGTTGATCTGTTTTTTTTAATTTATTTATTTATTTTTTTCAGAGCAAATTTTGCACGCTAGTCAACAAAGCTGATGAAAAGTACAACATGCCTGGTTACTCATTGTTATCGGAAGTTGCCGAAGCATCTTCTAGTTTGTTAGATAGTAGACTGATAGCAGCTTTGAATAAGTATTCACACCTAATTGAGTATATTCACGTTTCGGATCAGTTTAGTGGACCAGTTCAACAAGACGATCCCAACACCCTGAAACAACCCGAAGTCAAACGCATCTTGCATTGCGGTTTCAACATGCCCGCTAAAATTGATATGGAAGAGATGAAGCCACTGCTGATTCTTGTGCTTTATCTCATGGAACGTATCAAGCGCTTTCGTTTATCCAAAGAGGTAGAAATAATTAGTTACTAATATTCAAAACTGTTTATTATACGTAGTTTCTATTTTTATTTCATCCGCTATCAGGGTAAATCAAAGTCTGACAAAAACCGCGCCCGAGTAGAGGAGGAATTTATGAAAAATACCCATGCAGCCCGTGCCGAAGCTGCAGCCCAACGTCGCGAGGAGAAGCGTAAAGCCGAAAAGGAAAAGGTATTGGCCATTGATGATCCGGACAAGCAAAGACGCTGGGAAGAGAAGGAAAGAAAACGTCTCGAGAAGAAGCGTCCTAAAATGAAGCAACTCTCGATTAAGGCACTTTAAGACGATCAAATGTAGAGAAACTGTTCACAGTTTTCTGTGGACATTTCACAACCTCATGGTTAAGATAGTAGGTAAAATCATTCATATTAGATAAATCCACTGTCATTTTCTTGTGGTTAGTAGCGAACTGTGTAGTAACGGTAATATAAAATAAAGAATTATTGATTGCCACGTTCATCAGTTGTTTTCATTTAGTAATCGGTGTGTTATGGCGCTTTCTTATCGGATACACGTACTGTAAAATGTCTTAAACCAAATAGTTTTAGACAAATAGCATTCGTCGATAATAAGGCCGACAGTCCAGCTACACTTGTAAGTGCCGCCCTAATAAACAAATACCATAAACGAATGATAATCCAAATTGTAGAACTATTCCACAAATGGTTTGGATGATACCCCCGGACAACAACCATCGACTTCTCATTGTTTCAAAGTTTGCTGAAAAGGTTCACAACATGAGTTTGTCTAACCGACTATTACGCTCATTTAATATTCCTGCTGATCATATTTAACCATCTACATTATTATTTCTCTGATTATTGATGAAAAAGATGGTGTTCTTTGTTTGGTGGGTGAATCTCGATCGAGGGTTTAATTTACTGCTTAGACTAAAATAAGCAAAGGGAAGTTCAACACAAAACAAATCTGGCACGTTTTGATTATTATAAAAATTTTGGAAAAAAATATTTAAAAACTTTATAAAAATTCCTGAGAAAACATAGGGAAGAGCGCTACTTCGTCGTAACCGCCCATTTCCGTTCTATCGAGCTGAAATCATCAATAATATCAATACACCATGCACATAACAATAATACGTTTGTTTTGATCCGTTAGTTTATAAGCCACACCATGAAGCCTACTACAACGCATTGTATGAATATTTACACTCATTGTTCTTAAAACAAAAGAAGCGCTCCTACAGAATCCACTTTTTCTACCATCATCCGTAGGACGAAGAAAATTTAATGTCGTTTCAATGCGTTAGGACGGAACCCGTAGGACGAATTTAAAATCAAGAAGCAGTGTTAGATTTAAATCCAACGATACATACGTAAGGAAAGGTGAATCAATTTAGAAGTTATCTTTGATGAAAACATTCCATGTTTTGTTCAAACCCTTTCAAAAACTAGAGGTAAAGTGCGGGATGTACTTAGTAGGACGGAAATTAGATCAAAAACCCTACATGAACTATATTTTTCTATCTCATCATTAAAAAAAAAGTTGAACTCTAAACAAAACCGAAAGGTTTTTTTTTTATTATTATAGTCACTTTAACGCTCTTGGGTCATTCGTGACTTGTCCGGGAGTGAGATTTGAACTCGTGACTTTGGCGTGAGAGGTATGGATGCGTATGAATCAGATCGTATTTTTTTTCGGGGCTTCCCATTGAAATATACATTAGATTGCAACCAACCAATTAAAGAATGCGCTCACACCAAAAATGTATCATGGGAAAAATCGTTTAAAAAAAAGCACATTTAAATTTGTATTGCTATCTCTTATACTCTCAAGGAAATATTACTCAGCTATCATAGAAACTGGGGTTACTCATAGCTCTGAGTAACCTCAGTTTTTATGAAAACTGATTATTGCTGATTGCATCTGAAACTGGACTGTCCCAAAAATGCAAAAAGTGTGATAAAAGTGCACGTTTCCGTCAAATCGTTTTTATGTCTTCGGAGCACTTATTGCTTGCATCATAAGGAATAAGTGCATCGAAGACACCAAGACGATTAGACGTAAACTTGCAGTTTTATCACACTTTTTAATAAGTGAAAACGCGTTTATTAGTCCAATTTGGTGTGAAACGCGCAATAATATTTCCGTGAGCAAAACAGAGATAGCAACACAAATTTACTCAAACACTGGGTAAGATTGAAGGCCCGTGCAGCAGGTTCATACAAAAAAAGGTGTACCTGCTAATATATCGATGGATATCATGTTGACAACATATTCCCAGTGGTGCTTGGACTTTAATCTGGATCTATCCGTAATCCGGATATCCGACGGTATCCGGATACACCCAACCATTTTTTGCGCGGGTACATTTTTCCAATATTTTTTTTTCTGGTGAAGTCAGAAAATTTCTGTAGGTAGGGGAAATGGATGTAATGTCGGCCTAAATACACCTAATTTGGCCACATACATAAATTCAGCAATCGACTAAATTTTCAATAGCGACCAAACATATCCTTTGGTACCGTCCCAATGACGCATTCATCTAGATGAAATTGATAAAAAGCATATTTTTAGCGATGAGCCCAATCTTAGATCCATTAGAGCCATTTTTCCTGCCATATTTTTTCTATGATTTTATTTTTATTTTTGATGCATCAAAAATGTAGTGGTAAGCGTGATTGCATCTCACACCAAAGGGTCTGGGTTTGATCTCAGTCGACGCCGCCGGGATTTTCTGAGGCATAAAATCTCGGAACACGCCTTCTTTCGGAAGTGAAGTAAAGCCGTTCGTCCCGGTCCATGAGTTGATGGGTCGATAGGTAGGGTCCAGATTTGGGAGCTGCCTCCCTGGCGTCGGTAGCATTGGTACTCAGTACGGAAAACAAATCAAGGAAAAAAAAACATTTTCTATCACATTGGTGTTAGGCTTTGAATGATTTGGAACCGACTTATTTCCTCTCGGAGGATGTTCGATACCATAGGAACCAGTTTAACGATACCGATACAAAAATGTTCGAGAGGCCGAATACGTTCCACTGTAGCAGTTGATCGCACAGTTCTCCCGTTTAGTCGAGTTCGAGTCAAACATCTTCGAAAAGGTTGAAAAATCAGTGGCGTTTAAATCTCTACCAATAGCTACGAAGTCTTTGAGCTCCATCAAAGCCTTAAGAAAATCGTACGATAAGTTAGTTTTGAGTACTTCGACTTTTTGGCATCCACCATGGGATAGCTCATGGCTTGGGAGAGCTTGTTAATTTGGAGATAATATTGTTAAAAAATCTCTCCTCTTTGTTGACAAGATCTGAATGTTTGAACTCTTGGTGTACCAGCCAACACTGTGCCCTCAAAGAGGTGGATTGCCGAATCGAATAAATCAGCGTCGGTAGCATGTTCTGGCATGGGACACAAAATCATTGAGCCCCAACCCCTGATCCGTGCCGGAATACTTTCTAATTTTCAATTGCGACACTGGCGTCAATTTACGCTGTGGTACGATAGGTGGCAATACCGGTAAAACAGGCTGTTGATGTGGAACATTGGGAGCATTATTGTTGGGATTTGGACATTGGTTGTCGTCCATTGAACTAATGGAACTCAAAATTCCCGTTGAAACTGGGTCTTGGAACCGGAGAGACTGTGGGAGGTTTTCTAATACTCGCCTTAAAGCATTGACCTGAGTAGCCAGCGATTTTATAAGACTACCGACGTCAGTAACCGCTTTGCTGAAAACAGCTTTCGTCACAAATTGATATATATTTGGTTGTTTAGGCCGAGTGTGGGGCGACGCGGTTACTGGAATATCTTCTGCCACTTCGTCTAATAATCTACCCGATTCTGAATCAGTTTCACCGGCTGTGGAAAAGAAGTTATCTTCTGACCAAAAGTATTCCGAAAATAACCGTAGGGTTTTACAAAATTCTTCGTTGCTCTGGGTTTTCAGCTCAACATTTTTAATAACCGCCAGTCGGTGACCTAGATACAATAAACGCGCTTTGCAAAAATCTGTTTCTTCTTCTTCTTCTTCTTTCCTTTATTTAACGTCGGTCTCTGTTCCGCAATCTAGTGACGGACATCGATTGCCATCCATTGACGGCAATCGAATGTGCAGGAAGGCAGCTTCCACACCTGCGTAGGATATCGCACCCATTCACAACACACATGGGCCGGGACCAACGGCTTTACTTCCCTTCCGAAGGAAGACGTGACCAGAGATTTTTATGCCTCAGAAAAATCCCACCGACCTCGGCTGGGATTGAACCCAGACCCATTGGGGTGTTAGAAAGCAGTCACCCTTACCACAACACCACCGGCGCCGGCAAAAATCTGTTTGACCTCGAGGTGTGAAAGTGATGATTTGCCGGAGTTCTACGAAAATCTCTCTGCACATTCCTAAATCCATTTTCGGGTCTAAGTGAATCATAAACTCATGGCCCTCCTCTCGTTCGTCTTTCAGGATCTGTTTCAACCTGCGTCGACGTTAACACCGTCACTCATCGTCATCGTTCGAAATCATAAATAATTAATTATATGATTTGAGTAGTAGCTTTACTGAAGATCCGAGAGATGTCGCCCCTTCAGTGGTAGGAAAATCATTTTTGCAGTATGGAGAATATCAGAGAATCCACGATGTGTGACTAAACATGCTTTCACAGAAGGAAACAAATAAACAAGTGTTTACCTTGTCACTATACTAATGTACTTGTCCATTTTTGTGTATCTAAAACTGCCCATAAAGACGACAATGAATAAAAACTGAAAAAAATTTCCTACCATTCCCATACATTCGAAGTGACTGGCCCTCTGGATGTGGATAATGTCAAAAACAACAAAACATGATTAATTGCTGTTTTGGCTCGAGTGACACTTGCCTTTGAATAAAAGAACACGTCTGCTGGGCCGATCGCAATGCTGTTGTATTTTATAAGGACTGTTTCAATTTGAAACTAGAACAGAAACGCACCTCTCGCAATGCTGAGTTGCAGTTTCATTATTCGAGCACTATTTTGCACCAGATTTGCAACTCGACTATTGATGAATCTACGCGAAACTGCACCAGTGCATACGACACCTAGGTTTGAAATCCAAAACCACAAAAGTGAGGATGTACTAAAAAATATTCCATACGATTTGACAGCTAGCAAAACGTCATTATCATTTTCACATCATTTCCATCTGCTGGCCGACCGTAAAGGGCCACCCACAATAGTCCGTCACCGTCACCGTCACCGTCAGCGTCAACGCATCCGTCATGTACTAAAATTCTCACGGACGCATTGACGCAGCGCTTGCGTACAATCATGCGTCACGCGTTGCGTTTTGACAGTAGCATAATCTCGTTTTAATCATTTGTTTTGGTAGAAGATTTAGTATTTAAAAAAAAAAGTCTGTACATTTTGAATTTGGGAGGCGATTGGTGAATGGCGAGTTGGATTTACCAGCACCGGGCAAGTTGCCAGGCTCAAATGAAGTGATGCTGTATTTCATTGTTGGGGATGC